TGAATACGCTTTATTTCTTTCTCTTGACTGATTGCCCTGGCCAGAAATTCCAATACTATGTTGAATAGGAGTGGTGGGAGAGGACATTCAGATTTTGCATCCCAGGGATGAAGCTGACTTGATCGTGGTGGATAAGCTTTTTGATGGGCTGTTGGATTCAGTTTGCCAATATTTTATTGAGGATTTTCGCATCTATGTTCATCAGGGATATTGGCCTGAAATTTTCTTTTTTTTGTTGTGTCTCTGCCAGATTTTAGTATCAGGATGATGCAGTCTCACAAAATGAGTTAGGGAGGAGTCCCGCTTTTTCTATTTTTTGGAATAGTTTCAGAAGGAATGGTACCAGCTCCTCTTTGTACCTCTGGTAGAATTTGGCTGTGAATCCATCTGGTCTTGGGCTTTTTTTGGTTGGTGGGCTATTAATTACTGCCTCAATTTCGGAACTTGTTATTGGTCTATTCAGGGATTTGACTTCTTCCTGGTTTAGTCTTGGAGGGTGTATGTGTCCAGGAATTTATCAATTTCCTCTAGATTTTCTAGTTTATTTGCATAGAGGTGTTTATAGTATTCTCTGATGGTAGTTTGTATTTCTGTGGGATCAGTGGTGATATTCCCTTTATTATTTTTTATTGTGCCTATGTGATTCTTCTCTTTTTTATTTTTTATTTTTTATTTTCTTGAGATAGAGTCTCGCTCTGCCACCCAGGCTAGAGTGCAGTGGCATGATTGGGGCTCACTGCAACCTCTGCCTCACGGGTGCAACTGATTCTCCTGCCTCAGGCTCCCAAGTAGCTGGGACTACAGGCACACGCCACCACACCCAGCTTATTTTTGTATTTTTAGTAGAGATGGAGTTTCACCATGTTGACCAGGACAGTTTTGATCTCTTGACCTCATGATCTGCCTGCCTCCCAAAGTGCTGGGATTACAGGCATGAGCCACTGCGCCCGGCCCTCTTTTTTTCTTTAATAGTCTGGCTAGCAGTCTATTTGGTTAATCTTTTCAAAAAACCAACTCCTGGATTCACTGATTTTTTTCTTAAGGGTTTTTTTGTGTGTCTATCTTAGTTATTTCTTGTCTTCTGCTAGCTTTTGAATTTGTTTTCTCTTGCTTCTCTAGTTCTTTTCATTGTGACGTTAGGGTGTCGATTTTAGATCTTTCCCTCTTTCTCCTGTGGGCATTTAGTGTATGTAAATTTCCCTCTAAACACTGCGTTAGCTGTGTCCCAGAAATTCTGGTACATTGTGTGTTTGTTCTCACTGGTTTCAAAAAAATTATTTATTTCTGCCTTAATTTCGTTATTTACCCAGTAGTCATCCAGGAGCAGGTTGTTCAGTTTCCATGTAGTTGTGTGGTTTTCAGTGAGTATCTTAATCCTGAGTTCTAATTTAAATCTGGGTGCTCCTGTATTGGGTGCATATACATTTAGGATAGTTAGCTCCTCTTGTTGCATTGATCCCTTTACCATTATGTAATGCCCTTCTTTGTCTTTTTTTTTTTTTTATCTTTGTTGGTTTAAAGTCTGTTTTATCAGAAACTAGGATTGCAAGCCCTGCTCTTTTTTGCTTTCCATTTGCTTGGTAAATATTCCTCCATCCCTTCATTTTGAGCCTACATATGTCTTTGCACGTGAGATGGATCAGCCCAAAATTTCCTTAAGCTAATAAGCAACTTCAGCAAAGTCTCAGGATACAAAATCAATGTGCAAAAATTGCAAGCATTCCTATACACCAATAATAGACAAACAGAGAACCAAATCATAAATGAACTTCCATTCACGATTGCTACAAAGAGAGTAAAATACCTAGCAATACAACTTACAACAGATGTGAAGAACCTCTTCAAGGAGAACTACAAACCACTGCTCAAGGAAATAAGAGAGGACACAAACAAATGGAAAAACATTCCATGCTCATGGATAGGAAGAATCAATATTGTGAAAATGGCCATACTACTCAAGTAATTTATACATTCAATGCTATCCCCATCAAATTACCATTGACTTTCTTCACAGAATTACAAGAAACTACTTTATATTTCATATGGAACCAAAAAAGAGCCCATATAGCCAAGACAATCCTAAGCAAAAAAAACAAAAACAAAGCTGGAGGCATCACACTACCTGACTTCAAACTATACTACAAGTCTACAGTAACCAAAACAGCATGGTACTGGTACCAAAATAAATATATAGACCAATAGAACAGAACAGAGGCCTCAGAAATAATATCGCACATCTACAACCATCTGATCTTTGACAAACCTGACAAAAACAAGCAATGGGAAAAGGATTCCCTATTTAATAAATGATGCTGGGAAAACTGGCTAATCATATGCAGAATACTGAAACTGGGCCCCTTCCTTACACCTTATACAAAAATTAACTCAAGATGGATTAAAGGCTTATATGTAAGACCTAAAACCCTAAAAGCCCTAGAAGAAAACCTAGGCAATACCATTCAGGACATAGGCATGGGCAAAGACTTCATGACTAAAACATAAAAAGCAATGGCAACAAAAGTCAAAATTGACAAATGGGATCTACTGAAACTAAAGAGCTTCTACACAGCAAGCACTTCTAGTCCTTGTAATACCAGAAGCACAGAGAAAAAATGACATTCAGATTTTCTCCAGAATTTTAGAGAAAGTTTACGCTCACATCCGCTATGGAATTTTGAATGCTAAAACAAAGCAGCCTCTCCTCTCCATTGAGGAGTCCCATCATCCTATCCATAAAATTGGCAATTTGACACAGTTCTAAGTCAATCACTTCTCTCCGTAATACATAAGAAGTGACATTCTTCTATTCCTATCTAAAACAAAGATTAAGAGAATGACGATAAAAACAGAGTTGAGGGTTCTGTTTGCTGCTGTCATCGAAGGGGAATATTCACTTAGTCAGAAGAGGGTGGCAGCGGTGGTTTTAGGGCATGGTGACACCCACTGTCATGTGTCTGGTCCCATCACTGTCCTAAGACAATGGTCTGTTTTGTATTAGGCTCAAGTCAAGTGACTATGATTATTTGGGATCTAGAGACTCTAGAGAAGGACCCTGGAAAGATCTGAGAAGAATATCACGTTCCTGGCTTAATGGGCTGGAATATGGAACCAGGCACACACAGGACTAGGAACACTAATCAGGAACCCAAGGCAGAAAGCCAGATCACCACCCGAACAAACAAGGCGGCCTGTCTGCACCTGAGGCACTCACACTTACCCATGATTCTGAGCAACTACACCAAGCACCAAAGAGGTCAACTGTAGACCTAGGCCTAGGCTAGGCTTCTCCTGTACTAAGCAGAATGAGCTGATAGGTGTCAAGGCTCAGCCAAACTAGGGATAAAAGGCAGAGTGTAAGACTTTTGTCTGGTAGGTGAATAGCTATATTTGCATTTATGCTACTTTGCTTTACTATCAGAACAGGCCTCAGCCTTTTCACAAATCCTCAAAGTTTTACAAATTGCTAAGTCATGCACCCAACTTACTGAAATCAACTGAGGAAAAGTCACGTTATCACTGAGCCCTGCCCATAGGTCAGTAGAAAATGATAAAAGGAGAGATTAGATGCAAAAACAAACAGGTATGTTTTTACAGAGCTGTCTTGTTTCAAGAATAAAGTTCTTTTAAGAGAAGGCTTATTCAAATTTTTTCTATAAAGAAAAAAGCTAGCTATTGCAAAAAGATACTTGTGGAACTTATATTAAAATAAGCCCAGTAATCAAAACATACTTTTAGAAGATTCTTGAAAATATTACAACATGTAGGAACCCTAACACAATCCAGTCTAATCCATCCATTTTGCTTATGAGAAAACTAAAGTTCAAAGAGATTATTTTTGGTGGCTCATGCCTGGAATCCCAGAATTTCGGGAGGCCAAGGTGGGTGGATCACTTGAGGTTAGGAGTTCGAGACCAGCCTAACCAACATGGTGAAACCCCATCTCTACTAAAAATACAAAAACATGGTGGTGCCTGCCTGTGATCTCAGCTACTCTAGAGGCTGAGGCACGAGAATCACTTGAACCCAGGAGGTGGAGGTTGCAGTGAGCTGGGATCCGGGGCCATGCCACTGCACTCCAGCCTCAGCCACAGAGCAAGACTCCCTCTAAAATAAATAAATAAATAAATAAATAAATAAATAAATAAAAACATTATTTCTATTATATCATTTGGCAAAGGAGGTAGATTTAGGTAGATAGGGAATGATAACAGATGGAAATATGGATCTACACAGGAAAATGAAGATCACCAGAAATGTAACAACAAGGATGAATATATTTATTGAAAATATCCTGTAAAAGAAAGGATTTGAAAAATCATTCTAAGATAAACAAAAGCTGAAAGAATTTGTCAGCATCAATCTGCACTAGAAGAAATGCTAAAGGCTATTCTCCAAGCTGCAGGAAAAAAATGTTATCAAATAGAAACTGAAATATACCAGGATTGAAACCCACTGGAAACAGTAAATAACAAATACATTTTTATTGTTGTTCTTATAATTTCCTTAAAAGACAACTGACTATTTAAGGGAAAAAAAGGCATTAAACAGTGGACTTTTTATGTTATATGCAAAAAATGGCACAAAAATAGCACCAAGGATGGGTGGAGTGGAAAATGGAATTAAACTATTATAAGGTTATTGCAATGAGAAGTGTTTTAAGTGTAGTTATATTAAGTGTAAGTTATATTAAGTGTAAGTGTTAACTAGGAACTATGAAGTGTGAAATAGTAAACATTGATAAGTTTTAGGGCTAGAACAACTACTAAATATTAATAAAAAGTTTAGCTAAGAAGCCAATAGAGCAAATAAAATAAATCCTAAAACAAATTAGTTAATTCATTAATAAGAAAATGGTATGGCAAGCAAAGCTGGGAGCAAATATTTGAAATACATATATTCAAAAACAGCCTATATTACAATACATAAAGAACTCTTACAAGTCAGTAATAATAAGACAAATAATGCAATAAAAAAGAGAGGCCAGGCATAGTGGCTCATACCTGTAATCCCAATGCTTTGGGAGGTCAGGATGAGAGGATCGCTTAAGACCAGCAGTTTCACACAGTCAGGGCAAGACATCCAGGCCCCATCTCTACATAAACAATAAAATAAAATAAGTTAAAAATTTTTTTAAAAGGGCAAAAAACTTGAACAAGCAAAAGAAGAAATACAAGTAGCCAACAAGTACATGAAAAGATGCTCAAGGTCACTAGTAATCAGAGAAATGCAAATTAAAATTGCAATGAGACACTACTTCAAACCCACTCATATACATATATGACCCAACAATTCTGCTCCGAAGTATTTAATTAAAAAAATAAAAATTTATAGTCATAGAAACATTTGTATATGAATGTCTACAGCAGTTTTATTCATAAGAGCTAAAAACTACAAACAATCCAAATGTACATTAACAGCTGAATGAATATGCCAATTGTGATATATTCACTCGATAAAATACTGGTCAGCAATAAAAAGGAACAAATACTGAAAGGTGCAACAACATGAATCAATTTCAGTGACATTACATTGAACAAAAGAAGCCAAGTACAAAAGAGCATATGTGGTATGATTCTGTGTATATGAGATTCTAGAACAGGTAACATTAATCTATAATGATCGAGATCAGAGCAGTGCACTGCAAAGGGGCATGAGATAAATTTCTGGGGTTATGGAAATATTACCTGTTTTGATCAGGACGGTGGTTACACAAGGGCATACATTTGTCAAAGCTTACTGAACACTGAAAATGGGTGCATTTTCTATCACATAAATTATGCTTTGATAAATCTGATTAAAAATAAAATTAAAATGTGCTCTGAGCAAAATATTGACATTAACAGTTCTTGTCCATGCTCCAACAATAACCATCTGTTTCATTTTAGCCTCCCCACGTTTCAATATCCTGATGAGTAAGATGAAGTAGTTGAAATGAATTATTTGTAAGCTCTCTTCCATTTGAACTGTTTCCAATGCTAAAATTAACATAAGCCAGGTACCAGCCATAAAGTTTCCATACCTCGTGTTATTCATGTACCTTATATGTATAAAGATATGTGTATATAGTGAGGCAGGAGAATAGGATCTGGAGGCAGGGAACCTAAGGCCAATTCACACTGACTTCCTAGAACTAAATCAAAAGGAAAACCCCAAGTTACCACACCTAAGTAACCAAAGGACCACAGGCTACTTTCTTTGCAACCTCCCCCCTGCCCTTTTTCTGCGTGGCAGATGGAAAATTGAAAGTACCGCTGATTGGTTGCTTTCCACAACCAATCAGACATTTGCATAGGGTGTAACCTTTGTAACATCACTTCAGTCTCTGACTGGTTGCTTTCCACAACCAATCAGACTGATTGCTGGCCACTACTTCATTTGCATGGGGACTACACTAAGTGTCCAATGGGAAACCTCTAGAGGGTATTTAAACCCCAGAAAATTCTGTAACAGGGCTGTTGAGCCCCTATGCTCTGCCCACTCCAACCCTCCGGAGTGTACTTTCATTTTCAATAAATCTCTGCTTTTGTTGCTTCATTCTTTCCCTGCTTTGTGCATTTGTTCAAAAGCCAAGAACTTGGGCACCCTCCACCAGTAACAATAGCATATGTATCTACACACATATACACATGTGTATGTATACAATACATACATTTAGATATAGTATAAGCTTCCTTTTTATTTGACATGCTAACTTAATAGTATTGATATTGTAAAATATCAAAAATTTGGCGTTTTTATTTTATAATGACTGGATATGGTGTTAATTGATCTTTGCAACCACTATGAGTTAAGAATTGCTTATTTTGACTGCATTATTATAAATAAGGCCAACTTTATCTTCTGTGATATTCTTTGGAGTTCAGATTAGATCATAGGTTCTGGAAAGGTTTTCTTTCTTTGAGACAGAGTTTCACTTTTGTTGCCCAGGCTGGAGTGCAATTGTATGATCTCGGTACACTGCAACCTCCGCCTCCTGGATTCAAGTGATTCTCCTGCCTCAGCCTCCCAAGTAACTGGGATTACAGGTATGTGCCACCACGCCCGGCTACTTTTTTTTTTTTTTTTCTAGTACCAAGAAATAAATGTTATCACTCTCTTCACACTCAGATTTTATCAATTTACACTATTTACATTGCATCATTAGCAGGCTTATGAACAAACACAACAGTCTCTGGTAAGCGTATACAATCAAGTGGAGTGTGCAGAAATGCTTTGGAATACTAGAGAATGAGCTACAAACCAAAAATTCTGGAAATGTTGATCAGGCTGGTCTCAAACTCCCGACCTCAGGTAATCGGCCCGCCTCGGCCTCCCACAGTGCTGGGATTACAGGCATGAGCCACCATGCCCGGCCTGCAAAGGTTTTCTTGAACAGTTCTACTGTTTAGAACAAGTGAGCATCACATGCTGCCATTGACTTTTTCAGAATCACAAGAAGCATTTAGCACCCTTCATCCATGCGCATCAACTATGTTCACACACATCCCTGGTCATAATTTATTGAGCTTGCAGTATTAGGGCATCAGAACGAAATAAATCCCAAAACATTAAAGCTGGGAGTCTTGAACTTATCTGTTTATAAGGATCACCTGCTCTCACCCCCAACAGACCAAGTGAGTGAAAATTCCTGGGAAGGCTTGGGATCTATATTTTTTAAGTACTGCCCTTCCTCATCCCACACCATACACAAGGACTTTTAAGATCAGGCAAGTCTGGGAAACACAGGCATAATGTGAGAAACCATAGAATTTACCCCAGAGTCTTGGCAGGTCTCTTCTCAAAGACATTTGATGCATTTAGTGTGCTTGGATTTGGATTACCTCTTTCTCTAAAGTCTCACTGGTAATTAGAGAGAAGGAGGTGGGTGGCAAATTATAACCAGACAGCCAGATTCTGAAGCCAAGGGAGACAGTGCTGTGGTGTTGTCTCCAGTTATAGCTAAGTGGGCCTAGGTTTAGCATGGTCACGCAATCACCTCGACATCGAGCAGATATTCCAACCCAGATCCAACACATCAAAATAAATCATGGCATTTTTCATGCAAAATAGCCAGAATGTGCACTTGCAAAGCAAAGGCCCTAATATAAACAAATGCTCATGTAGATATTCGGTATGTATCCGACAGCCAAATATTGGAGCTATGCAGAGCAGCTAGAAGAGTGGACCGCAGGCAGGGTGGCAAGTCCAGAAGACAGCTCACTTAAAACATCATTTTTAAAACGTACATTCTTAAAGCCTTAAAGACAAGACTCAAATCTGATCCAGGAATAAGTGTAGCTGCCATCTCTAATTTAAAAGGCAGGTGATAATCTCATTTTCCAGCCCTCCTGTCATGTGAAGGTTGTTTATCTTTCCATAGATACATAACCTACCAGTATCCAGGATTCCGCAGGGGCCTGGAAGGCATATACAGTGGCTACATAAACCGGATCAGGGGATCGAAGGACAAGCTTATTAGTCCGCTGGTCCAGAGGGAATCAGTACAGCTTAATCTTCTCAAAATCCCCTTTGCTCAGTTTCTTATGTAGGTTTAACAGTGACTAAGGAAACAGGAAGTCACTAGAGAGTAATGAATCTCCCCAAAGTATGTGTGCCTCTCTGACCAACTTCAGTGGGGTTGGGGTGTAGAGGAAAATTTAGATATTCCAAAACTGACATACGGAAAGTTTGATCCAAAGCTCTCCCTCTTCCTGGTTTATAAACAGTTTCAGAGGGACCAGCTGGTCCAGTCCCAGGAAAACTTCAAAAACATCATACTAGGAAAGGAGACAATATCCAAAAGATTATCTGTGGAATCAGCTGAGATTGCTTTTTATTGTAAAAATTCTGGAAATTCTTTAGCAAATGTGCTAGAAACATTCTTAAAATATCTAAACCTGTAAAAGTTTTTCTACTTCTGTAACATTGCTTGGTCAACCAGGATTCTCTAATTCAATAATTTCCAATCCTAGCTGAATGGCAGGTCTTTTTAAAAATACATATTCTAAGCCCCATCCTAATCCAGTGGTCTTGGATGAGATCTGGAAATATGTGTAGTAGAAACCCCGACAAAATTATAACTAGCATACAATTTGCTCAGCCCAAAAGTTTCATAAAGCAAAAAATCTGAACAAAATATGACATATGTACATCTTTAAGGTATAATCCTTTATATGAAACTAAAATATAAACATATGCATTTGACAGACTTTTTATGTCAAGTATGGACTTTTTCTTATAGAAGTCTACTGATTAAACAGTAAAGCCATCTTTCTTGTGTATTTCACACAAAAAGACAAGATATACAGTCTCCAGTTTTAGTTTCTTTGGAGTGAAGCCTTCAAGACTTTGTAAAGAAACAGGAGCCTAACGTCTTAGATTTTTACAATTTTTTTTATCACTTACAGTTGTCTTGTCCACATACAACAACAAATAAACGGTATCACTCTCTTCACACTCAGATTTTATCAATTTACATTATTTACATTGCATCATTAGCAGGCTTATGAACAAACACAATAGTCTCTGGTAAGCGTATACAATCAAGTGGAGTGTGCAGAAATGCTTTGGAATACTAGAGAATGAGCTACAAACCAGGATTAGTCAGTTTGCTGTGGTAACCCGTGAACATCTCACTGAAGTAAAGGAGAAAGTTTGTTAAACAAGTGAGTAAGTCGAAAAAGACTCATTCATTATCTCTGTACAATATTTCTGAAGAGCTCTACACATAAGCAATTATGGTGGTTATCTAAGTTTGAGAAATATTACCCTATATCAGAGTTTCTCAAACTGAAATGTGCATACAAATTCCCTGAGAGTCTTATTAAAATGCAGATTCTAGAGATCAGTATGTCTTGGGTGGAGCCCCAAAATCTAACAGTCTCCTAGCTTTCATCAAAGAACTCTAAATGAGATCTCTACTATGCCACATGTTTTTATCAGTTGTGGCAGCAAAATTGTAGTTGAAAGTGAATTTTTCTTGCATTTTAATCTTTTATAATTAAATAACTTCAATTTTTTTAAACAGAAGAGTTTCTTGACCAATTATTCCCAATAACAATGTAAGATTTTTTCATTTTTTCCAACCATTCTTTGGTTTAGTAGAAAGAAGTG